GCTCATGCCATCTCATAATGCAAAATGCATTTGTCCATACCCAGGAGTCCCCAGAGTTGTTCAGAAGTCTAAATCCAGAGTCTTTACTAAGACTAAGGCAGTCTCTTAACTGTGAGCTCCTGGAAAACCAAAAATAAAGTTGCATACATCTAAGCTGCAGTGGCACAGAGTAAACATTCTCATTCCAAAAGGGAGAAACAGGAGAATATCAAGGTAGAATCAGACCGAAGCAAGACCAAAACCCAGCAGGACAACCCTGTGTAGCTACTGAATCCTATAGCTCCATGTCAGGCATCTGTGGCATGAGGTGTTGTGAAATGAGCTCCAGTGGGCTTGGACAAGCCTTGCCTATATAGCCATGCCATTGCATAAATTCCCTCTTGGACTAGCTACACTTGTTGCCAGCAACTTTTCTCACAACCTTATGAATTGCCTTCTTGGGGGCTGCCTGCAAAGATTCTGACCCTGTTTTATCTTTCCAAGATTTCCTTTAAAAAAGGATCTGTGGAAGACTCTATGATCCCCTAACTCTTACATCATGCATGCCTGCAAAACCAGCATTACATGGAGGATGCCAAGGTCTGCCACCAGCCTAAGCAGTAGCTTGGGTCCTCTTGGAGAATGGCTCCAGTAGCTTCTGACTGCCTAGGCAGCTGAACTTCCCTGGGTGACCCTGTGTTTCCAGGGAACCCTGGAGCTCTTTTCTCTAATAAAGTCTTTTGAGTTAAAATCTTTACAGTCTTGGTCCTGCCATGGGTGAGTGGGTTTTGGCCAATTCTTAAGATACCCTCATGACATCTTTCCTAGCCAGGTGCCGGTGGCTCATGCCTGTATTCCTAGCTACTCAGGAGTCAGAGATCAGGAGGATTGTGGTTTGAAGCCAGCCCAGGCAAATAGTTCATGAGACCCTGTCTTGAAAATACCCAATACAAAAAAGAGGTGGAGGTGTGGCTCAAGTGGTAGAGCATCTGTCTGCCTAGCATAATGAAGTCCTGAGTTCAAACCCCAATACTACCTAAAAAAAAAAGAAAAAAAAAAAGACATCTTTCCTGTTGTCCTGGTGAAAGGTACTTGATTTCTTTTTTATGGAACTAATCTTTTTTTAGCAACTACGTCGTCATCCACAACTTTCAACTCTGCTCTTTTTCTGGCAAACCACATTTTTTAAATCTTTCTATTCCAGTTTTTGCTCCTGATTGTCACTGTAAACCTGGCTAAGAGCAGCTGGCAATCACTATGCTACAGCCTGAATGCTATACTGTCTTGAAGTTTCCTCCACTAAATTAATTAATCCATTACTTTTAAAGTCAGCCTTGCTCAAAGCCTTGGGACACAGACAAAATGTAGACAAATTCTTTATCAGAATGTTACATGAATTTCCAGTGAGTTCTCATTTCCACCTGAAAGCTTATGAGCAAACTTTATTGTCTCCATTTCTAGCAGCAAGGAGAGGTAAGATTTATTTTAGGTCATGGTTTCAGAAGATTCAGTCCATAGTCACTTGGCACCATACTTCTAGACCCTAGACAAGGCAGGAACATGCAGAGGAAAAGGCTTTTTGCCTCATGGCAGACAAGAAACAGAGCTTTTCATGCCTTTATTTGCCATCTGTATGTTGTGTTTGGTGGTATTTGAAACCCAAGTTCAAAAATGGTTGAGTTTTGAGAGGCCTTTAATTTGAATACAAATCCTTTATCAAAGGCTTCTTTTTAAGTGATGAAGATGTTCTAAATTGCATTGTAGTGATAATGAACTTCATGGTATATAAATTATAACTCAGTAATGGTATTAAAAATGAATTATTTATATATGTGGAGGGGCAGAGTTGGGGGGTTATTTCTTTTTCTTCTGTTTGTTCCATTGATCAATAATGGATTAAAAGAGATAAATCAGAAAAGATTAGTACCGTTAATGTTCATTGCTCCATTTATCTGTCTGTCTTTACATCAATACTCTATACTAATGCTTGAAATCAGATAGTGTATGTTAACCATCCAGGTTTGTTTTTTTTTTTTCAATTAACTTGGCTATTCTAGGCCTTTGTATTTCCCTGTGAAGTTAAAAATCAATGTTTCAATTTCTGTTAGAAAACTTCTTAGATTTTAATTATGATTGTGTCCAATTGGGGAAAATTTAGAAATGATATATTAACAATATTGGGTCTTTCAGTGTATGAGCAGGTATATCTGTATGTAGCTCTTTAATTTTTGTCAGAAATGTTTTACAGTTTTCAGTGTATGGACATTCTTACCTTTAGAACTATCCCTAAGTATTTCATATTTTGATACATTATAGATGTTACTGTCTTAAAATTTCTACTTATGATTGTTGGTAGTATATGGGAATGCACGGTTGAATTTTGGATATGACTCCTGTTCCTTGCAATCTTACTAAACTAAGTTACGAATTCCATTGCATTTTTATGTGGTGGTCATGTCATCTTAAGTAAAGCCTCCCAGGTAGCTGAAATTACAGGCGTGTGCCACCATGCCTAACTTGTTTGTTGACATAGGAGTCTTACTTTTTGCCCCAGCTGGGCTTTAACTGTGATCCTGCTGATCTCTACCTCCTTAGTAGCTGGGATTACAGGTGCCAGTACTGGGGTTTGACAGTACTGGGATTTGAACTCAGGGCTTCACGCTGCAGATGCTGTACCACTTGAGCCATGTTCTAGCCCTTTTTGTCTGGTTATTTTGGAGATAGGATCTCACTTTTTGCCCAGGTTGGATTGAATTGCAACCCTCCTATTTTACACTTCCCACCATAGCTTAGATTATAGGCACATACCACCACATCTAGCTTTTTTCTGTTAGATGAGGTCTCATGAACTTTTTTGTCCAGGCTGGCCTGGAACCATGATTCTCCCAGTCTCTGCTTTCTACGTAATTTAGGGTGACAGGTGTGTCACTGTGCCTAGCTATTAGTTCAGATAGGGTCTCACAAGCCTTTTGTCTGTGCTGGCCTCAAACTGTGATCTCCAGCTCTCAGCCTCCCAGTTAGCTAGGATTTGAGGTGTGAGCCACCATTGCCCAGTAGGTGCCATTTTTTAATGTGATTGTTTTTTTTACTCTTTTAATTATTTTGTTTTTTCCTGTGGTTTATTTTAGAGAATGAATAAATTAAATATTTTTATGCTTTCAGATTTACTTTCTGCAATGTCTAATCTGTTGGTAATTATATCTAATATATTTTTATCTCACAAAATCAGAAATTAATTATTGTCTCTATAAGCTTGATTTTATTCTCTTTTATATCTTAACTTTTTGAACATACATAGTTGCAATAACTTATTTTAATGTTCGTCTCTGCTAATTCTAACAAAACAGAATCAGCTTTAGGTTGATTTTGATTCATTGCTTTGTCTCCTCATTATGAGTTGTGTCTTTGTGTGCCTGATAATCATTGATTGGGTGTCCAACATTGTGAATTTTCCTCGTTGGTTGCTGAATTTATTAGTCAGCTTTCCATTGCTGTAACAAATAGCTGAAATAATCAGCTTATAGAGGAAAAGTTTATTTTGGCTCACAATTTTAGAAGTTCCATTTCATGATCAGTTTTCCCCAGTACTTTTTGCCTGTGCCAGGGAGCATGTGGCATAGCAAAACTGCTTGCCTCATGGCCAGGGAGAAAAAAGAACAAGAAAAGGACCAGTATCCTATAGTTTCCTTGGGGCTTGCCCACAATGACCTAAAGACCTCCACTATCACCTCTTAAAATTTCCACACCTTCCAGTAGCATCAATCCGGGGACCAAATCTTTTACACGTTGGGTCTGTGGGTAACATTGTAGATCCATACTATAGCACTGTCTCTCTTCGTGTTCCTATGAATTTTCTTGAGTTTTGTTTTGAGGTGCATTAGATTACTTTGAGGACTTGTTTTTACAGTTTGCTACATGGCTCTGGAGCAGTGCTCAGTCTAGGACTAAATATTATTCCCCATCACTGACTTAAGATCTTCTTGACTGTAGGTAGAGTATGGGAGAATGAATATGGTGGAAATATTAATACTTGTGCATGAAAATGGAAAAATAAGACCTGTTGAAACTGTTCCAGGAATGGGAGTAGAAAGGATAAGAGAGAATGATGGAGAGTTGAATTCCACTGTGATATTTTGAAAGAATTTTGGTAAATGTCACAATGTGCCCCTAGTACAACAGTAATAATTTAAAAAAAAAAAAAAAAAGATCTTCCTGAGTACCTCACCTAATGCCCTGTGGATTATGAGTTTTTTAAGCCTGACTGGTGGGAACTGGTACTGTTCCTTGCATTGTATAAATACTAGGCACTGTTCCCTCTTATTATTTTGGATGATTCTTTGCCTAGCCTTTCATATGTACACCAGTCAGTACTCTTGCTGTATATTAGAAAGAAACTCTGTCCTGGGATTCTCTCTCTAAGCAACTCCATCTCCTCTGGGTTTCTGTCCTTAAGTCCTAGTTGTCATTTTCTGCATTCTCAGCTCCATTTCCTTAACTTAAATGAGTCTACCAGACTCTACTTGAATTCTCTACCTGTGCCACTGCCTGGCAGTTTTAGGGTTGTTTGTTTGTTTACCATCTGTCAGGGACCAGTTTTTTTGCTGGCTGATGACCAGTGTCTTGAAAACCATTTTCTTGTGTTTTATCTAATTTACTTTTTTTTTAACTTAATAAGTTTCTTTGGTTGTTTGAGGTGGGAGGGCAAATCTGGTCCCTGTTAACTCCATTTTGGCCACAAGCAAAAGTCTTTTCTACAGTAGTTTTAACTTTAGAGGTCTATGTGCTAGAATTCTTCAGAAAATCTCTTAATGATAGCTACTTTTCATTTCTCTTTGGGAGGCTGTGTAGATAAAATAACTGTAGGCTGAACTCCAATCAGCAGGAACTTTTGAAGATACTTGGGGTATTGAACTGATTTCCTGACTCTCTTGTTTCTGGGAATTTCTTAAGTTATTTGGATCTGGAAACTAATTTTGAATAACAATTATATGAATTCCCTAATGTTATGATTTTGTTCTCAGAATTAAGAAAAAGAAAGAACAACAACGTTATGCTGAAGAGCAGAGAATCCTAAAAATGAACTTGCATGAAGGAACATATTCAGAGGAGAAGATGAGTGACATGTTAGCTCAGTTACGACTTGAAGAACTAAAAGAAACCAGAGAAAAACAGCAGCAGAGAGAAAAAGAATACATAAGGTGATTTGAAAAGTTCTGCATGAAATTCTGCTTCTAGATGAGACTTAGTAGGAAGCTGGTGTTTACGTTTTTCTAAAAAGAGAATTGATTGTGTTCTCTCACTTTTCCTTGTTTAGGGGTACATAACTTCACCAAGTATCCTTATTGGCTAATACCTCTTGGGAATAGCACTACATTTTTCTTAGTGCTATTTCTGGGTACAGAGAGGAAGAAATGAGGTACAGAGATATGAAGTAGTTTTAACAGTGAAAGCTGTTTGTAAAATCAGGATTCGTTCTTAATCTTTTCTTCACTTTGCCTCACCATAGTTTATTTTTCTAGATATATAGAAGCTCTACGAGCACAGGTCCAGGAGAAAATGAAACTATATAATATTACTTTACCTCCATTATGCTGTTGTGGTCCTGATTTTTGGGATGCCCATCCTGACACCTGTGCCAACAATTGTATTTTCTATAAAAATCATAGAGGTAAGTTTCTTGAAGGGATAGTTGAGGTCTAATAGATTTTTAAAAAGCAATAAAAATAGAGACTGTGGTAATTTAGTATTTACTGAGTGCTTACTATACATGAAACACTGTTAATAACCTCTTTACAAAGCAATTATCTGAGGTGATGAAAATTATTATGGTGTGTTTTATTTCCCTTTGAGACCTGTTATCTTGTCTCCATTTGTAATGGAGAAATACTTTTCAACTCATTCCACTGTAAGGTTTTCTTTTAACTGAAGATTACTAGAGTTTGCTTTTTATAGCTATCTAAGTTAAGACCCTGTCTTCTAGTTGAATTCTCTTATCCACATACTTTAGCACACTTACTATTATTTCATACATATTAGACTGCCAATTCTGCTAGAGCACACTGAGGAAAATGAGGAATGTGATTAAGAGTCCCAGGTAGAAAAAATGAAGTCCTGTGCTTCCTATTGTCACTAATGTTTCTGTTTCCTGTCCATCTTTAATAAATGTATTGATGAAGAGAGTGTAGAAATTATTTAGACTTCATATACACACTGAAAATAATGCTGGTATTTGTATTCCTAGTGCATCTCATCAGTGGGGTATGAGTTTCTTATCAGTCCTACCTGAGTTATATTTTTAAAACACAAATCTGATCATTTATTCCCCTGTTCTAAAAACTTCAGGGCTCCTATGATAGTACAAAATGCATGGCATAATTTCTGTGTCTCAGGCCACATTCTAGCTTTAATAAACTTGCTATTTTCGGTGTCATATTTTTTAACACCTTTTGCACCTCATACACACAGTTCTGTACATATAATGCCTTCTTTATTTCTGTTAATCCTTCACGGCCCACCTTAAATGATATTGCTTCTGAAAATGTTTTCAATACCCCCTTCCACAATTATCCCATTCATTTCCAGCTTCATTCTGTGATAGTATCTTGTATATGTCTCTGGTTTGGAAGTACTATACTGCAGTTTAATTATTTTTGTATCCATTCTTTCCATTCTCTTCTGTATTCATAGAGTGCTTGTCATGTTGTAAGTACTCAGTGAGTATTCCATGGATAAAGTTAATGTCTTTGAAACTCTGGGTAGAGAGGCAGAACTAATAGTAAGGAGAATTGTTTGGAATTTTACTCTATTCATTACTGTGAAAATCTTTATTTGCAGCATATAGTCGGGCATTGCGTTCGGTCATCAACTCCTCTGATATCTCCGAGGGGAATGTAACTCTTCGAAGTGCCATTCGTAATTTTGCTTCTGCACATAGACGGACTTTGAAAAAAATCTGTAATAAGAATCTGAAATCAGCTGAAACAACTGACAGTATTTCAGCCTTCATTTAAAATCAACCATGAGAAATTATTTAGGAAAAGCTGTTAAAGTGTATGAGATGTATTATCTGAAAAATACTATTCCACATAATAATTATGTATCTGTCTGTAATTACATATCTGTTTTGGGACTAAGACTGAAAGTTGACTTCCAAACTTGTCTCCTTTGTCATGAAGCATATGAAGCCTATTATTTTAAAAGGATGATCAGACAAGTAAGGTCTCTCTTACTTTGCTGTGATCAGAGGAGCTCATGAGAAATCTCTGAGATTATCTCATTTATCATCTTTCTAAAACTGTGTCTGGAGTCTTGATAATATTGAGAATGTCTGGCTAAAGCAGAAAAGAAAGTGATGAAATGGGTTTCTGAGTATTAGTGATCATCTGTATTGTCATTAGCTTTTCTAGTTTTGTGCAACAATTAGAAGAGTTTGAATTTGATCTTCTCAAAATTTTCTCTCTCCTGTTTTTTGCTTTTTAATTTATTACCTCTTTCCCCATTCAGTGAGAATGGACCTAGGGTTTACAAAAATTATATAATTGTACTTTAAAAAAACTCAAATAAACCTTTTATCTTTTGCATGTCTTTTAAGTGAAGTAATTGTGAGTGACATTTCAAAAAATGAATATGAAGTCCAAGTGAGTTAAGCCCTGTCTCATTTCTCTATCTTTAAAAAATCTGGTGAATTACAAATCAAATAAGAAAAAATATAGAGCAAATCAAATAATATCAATATCACAGTTGGTATAAATTTATTATTTTTCATGCTATTTCCTGACACAAAATGTAAAAGGCTTAATATAAATTTAAGACAGGTATTGTCTCCTTTTCCTACTTTCTCTGATATCCTCTAATGTAGACCTATATGCTAAAGAAGCACTTAGGTTTCAAAAAAAATGCCTAAACTTCTACCTAGGTCACTGAACATAAGAGTCAAAATTACCTGAATGACAAGATTGACTGGTTACTTAACCAGATTAATTATCCATTCAGCCAAAATACTTCAAGTAATTATATACTTGATTCAGTCTTGAAGACTTGTATTTGAGATAATTTACATACTGTATACAATTCACCCATTTAAAGTATACAATTCAATGGTTTAAATATATTCATAGCGTTATTCAACCATTATATCATTGTTAAATTTTAGAACATTTTCTTCATTAAAAAGGAGCCTCCATGATCTAGCAGTCACACTTCTGGGTGTTTATCCAAAAGAATTAAAAGTAAGATTTGGGACTGGGTGTGGCTCAAGTGGTAGAGCTCCTGCCCAGCAAGCTCTAGGCTCTAAGTTCAAACCCTAGTACCATATTTTTAGCATTATTCATAGTAGCCAAGAGGTAGAAGCAATCCAAGTGTTCATCAGTGGATAAATGCATAAACAAAATGTGAATGTGAACATACACAACAGAATAGTTTTCAGACTAAAAAGGAAATCCTGTCACGGTACAACATTCTGCTAAGTAAAATAGACACAAAAAGACAAATACTGTATGATTCTACTCATAGAGGTTCATAAAGTAGTCAGATTCATAGAGACAGAAAGTAAAATGGTGCTTGCCAGGAGCTAGATTTAGGAGGATATGAGTTATCATTTAATACATAGAGTTTCAGATTTGCTGGATGAAAAAATTCTAGAGGTCTGTGTCACAACAGTGTGAATATAGTTAACACTACTGACTGAACTATACACTTAAATAGTTATAATTGTAAAATTTAGTTTTTACGTTTTTCATTATAAAAATTTTTTAAGTAAAAATAAAAGGATCCTCTGTACTTGTTACCAGTTACTCCCCATTCTTCCACCCCCAAAAGTTCCTTCGCACCCTAGGCAACCACTAATCTATTTTCTGTATATATAGAGCAGCCAGTTCTCTACTTTTCTTATAAATGGAATTGTGATCTTTTGTGACTGTATTTTTTCATTTAGCCTAGTGTTAAAAATTCACCCATGTTGTAGCAGGTATCAATGTTTAATTGCCTTTTTATTGTTGAATAATATTATATTCTATGGATAAACCACATTGCATTCATCAGTTTGGTACAGTTGGTAGACATTTCAATTGCTTTCATTTCTTGGCTATCATGAATACTGCTATGAACAATTGTTGATTAGGTATATGTTTCATTTCTCTTGAATATATACCAAGGAGTATAATTGCTGGGTAGCATGGTAGTTTTATGCTTAACCTCTTGAGAAAATGCACTTTTCCAAATACTTATAGTGTATAAAGGTTAAATTTCTTCTTATCTTCACCAACACTTGTCATTACCTGTCTCTTTGAATAGAGCCATCCTAGTAGTTGTGAAATGTTATCTTATTGTAGTTTTAATTTGCATTTCTTGATGGCTATTAATGTTGAGCGTATTTTTCATATGCTTATTGGCCATTTGTGTATTTGTTTTGGAGAACTGTTTGTGGGTTTTTTTTTCCAGATCCTTTGTCCATTTTGTAATTGTCTTTTTATTATTGAGTTATAGAAGTTCTTAATATATTCTACATATAGGTCCTTTTATCCGTTATATGATTTGTGAATATTTTCTCCCATTCTGGGGATTGTCTTTTCACTTTCTTAATAGTTTCCTTTGGAGCACAAACTTTCAAATTTTGTTGAAGTCCAATTTATGTATTTTGTCTTTGTGGCTTGTGCTTTTGTTGTAAGAAACCATTACCTAATCCAAGGTCACAAAGATTTACTCCTTTTTTTAAGTGTCTTAAAAGTGATGATTCTTTTCTTTCCTTTTTTTTTTTTTTTTTGTAGTACTGGGGTTTGAACTCAAGGCCTCATGAGTGCTAGGTAGGCACTCTACCACTTGAGCCACTCTGCCAGCTGGTAGGCCTGTGATCCATTGTGAGTTAATTTTGGGGTATGGAGTTGGGGGGTCCAACTTCATTCTTTTGCATGTGGATAACAAGTGTCACAGCACCCTTTGTTGCCAGATCTGCAATCCTAGCTTTCAGGAAACTGAGGCAAGAGGATCATGGGTTAAAGGCCAGCCTGGGCTTTTTATTGAGGCCTCAAACTTTGTAGAACTCATTGACTCTCTTTTTTCTTTTTCTTTCATCCTTTATTGCTCCATGAGCAAATTATGTCAGCTCTGGCTTCATAGTGTATCTTCATTTCACATTTTCCCACTGCCAAATACCTAATCCAAACCACCATCATCTCACTTATGGATTATTAGAAGAGTTTCCTAAGTAATCTCTTTGCTTGCACTTTGTATATTTTCTCATTACAGCAGCTAAATTTTAAGACATTAAAAAACCAATCTTCTGATTTCCACTTCCCCACACACCCCAAATGAATAATAAGTGTTCCTTACTGTAGTCTTCAGTAAATGACAACTCCATCCTCTTTTTTTGGCCATGAAAGTGTGTCGTGAACCTTCATTCTTGTCTTTCTTGTACAGCCCATATCCAGTCCGTGTTAGCTTTACCTTGAAAGTACTCAAAACACAAGAGTGCTTACCTCCACTACAACCCTGGTTCAAATTGTTATCATAGCTCTCACACTGAGTTATTGCACTAGTTCCTATTTGGTTTTCTTGCTTCTATACTTGCCCATTATAGGTTGTTCTTAGCACAGCAGCCAGAGAAATCCTTTCAAAATAAGTAAGATCATATGCCACTCCTCTGCCTAAAACCTCCTTTTGCAGGCTGGGGACCAGTGGCTCATGCCTGTATCCTAGATATTCAGGAGGCAGAGATCAGGTGGCTCAAAGTTCGAAGCCAGCCTGGGCAAATAGTTCTGTGAGACCCTATCTCAAAAAACCCTTCAAAAAAATAGAGCTGGTGGAGTGGCTCAAGGTGAAGGCCCTGAGTTCAAGCCCAAGTACTGCCAAACGACGACAACAGCAAAAACTCCTTTTGCTTCTCATTTTACTCAGTAAAAGCTGGAGTCCTTACAGTATTATACAAGGCTCTATAAGATCTCATCCTAATTACTTCTGAGAACTTATCTCTTTCTGTTTTCCTCTTTGCCCACTCAGCTCAACCACATTGACCCTGTTCTTCCTTGGCCATTCCAGAGATAACTTCTGTTTCAAGTACTTTCCATTTGCACTTTGCTTTGGATGCATTTCCTTCTATATGGTTTGGTTACTTCCTTATCTCCTTCAAGTCTTGCTCAAATGTATTTTATTAGTCCTACCCTGACCACTCTACTTTAAAATGCAGCCTTCCTACCTACCCCATATACAAGTGCTCCCTGTCCCCTTTTCTACTTTTTTTCATGCTATTTATAGCTGTATGACATATCATTATTTTACTTAATTTTTATTTTCTTTCCACTAGATTGTACACTCTCTAAGGAACAGGATTTTTGTTGGTTTTTGTTCAATGCTATATCCAAGTCCTGCAGGCTATGCCTCAGATTTAATAGGCTATCAGTAAATATTTGTTAATAAATACTGTTAAATGAATGAATAAACTTGTCTTTTCTTTTTTTCCGTGTTCTGTTGTTTTGCAGCAGAATGCCCAACATAGAACATAACTACCAATACTCATCTGTGCTTAAGTACAAATAGGAAACATGATTCTTTTTGTTTAAAAAAGCATACTTAAAATCAACTCAGATCTTACAAGTATCTGGAGTCCAGGTCTAGATAGCAGAGCTTCCTCACCTGTGGACCCATAGTGACATCATGATCCCCACTCCCAGCTTATCAGTACATAGAATTTGGGTGTTGTCAAGCATGATCACAATGAACCCCTTTTCTAGGGCCTTCCCCAGCCCTCCACAAGTGTTATCCAGTCAGGACAAAGACAATTGGAACTTCTCAAAGATCAACTGTAATTCTACATGATTAGTTTTACCTAATGTTTGTAATCTTTTCTCAGAAAAGCTGATAGAAATTATTTTGCTTTGTTTTCCATTCTCTCATTGCTACTATGATTTAGGGCAAAACACTGAATTTCTCTGGAATGTTTTGTAAAACATAAGAGGGTTATACCAGGTGACCTCCATTTCTGGTGTAGTTCTAACAGTCTATGAATTTATTATGTTTTATACTTTTGAGCTCACATATTTTTCTGTTCACTTGCTCTTCTTGCTGAAGTATAGGTTAGTAGTAGTGAGATAAGTGTGCCACAAGTTTCTTCTCTACCGTGATTCCAACACTGATCCTTTCAGAGTAGACTAACATCAAGGGTCAAAGCAGAAGAGGAAGGCAGAACAGAAGGGAATTGGAAAAGAACAGAAGGGTTATAGGAAAGAGGGGCATGAAAACTTTTACCTCTTACCTACAAGGAACCTTTATTGATTTCCAGAATCCAAGCCAAGAAATGGAAATATGTATGTGATAGAGGCAAATTTAGGATTATGGTAGTAGTTGGGGATTTGTGTACCAGCTTTTCTGTAATAACAACCATCAAAAGCATGTATGACACGTTTTCCCAGCTAGTCCAACCTGAGTCAGCTTGTTGCAGTTGCTTTGATTTAGGAGAC